GTCCAACTCAATTATCATCGTGGGCCACATTAGCACTATATGTTGCCATTCAAAGGGCCGGTTGTAACTTTAAGACTGTCGTACAAAATATACATATTTAATATACCTATCACATTGAATGTTTTATTTTACATTCATTCTTTCTCTGCATTGCGCGCGGATTATACCCGATAGGGTAATAATTCTCAGTAATTAACTACGTCTGAAAGCAGAAGTCTGGCGGCGCCAAATACATCCTCGCAAGTCTCGACACATTATCCGAGTGTGGCATGTCAAAAAACCTCATCTCTGCATTCGTGGGACATGTACGTTTTATGGACAATGTGCTCCTGTACAAAGCGCGGCAATGGGAACCTATATAAACATATCCTTATTCTTTCCCACTCAGCTCTTGCGGGCCACATAAAATGAAGTCGAGGGCTGGATTTGGCCCCACGGCCCTTGAGTTTTTAACACCTGGTCCTAAGGAGATGGACTGTGTTCGTATTTGCTTTGACAGAGTTTATTAGGGCCAGAGACGGAGCGCTCACAGGCGACCAACGCCGGCGTCCGCTACGCACGATCTGGTGGAGGAACCCGTCAACTTCGTTATCCCTACACAGGAATCTCTTATTATTATAACTGCTGATCCGTTTCCTGTTTTTGAGAGGCCGCTCTCCGGACGCTTCAGAAGTTGTATAATTTGCACGGAGTTCCAGGATCGGTTGGAAAAATTCCACATCTGGAGTCAAATGCTGTCAAATTGTCCCAAACATTGCTACTCTACCACACCACCCTAATGCCATTTCCATTTTTGGAACAGATGTACAAAGTTCACGTAACTCTGAATGACCTGAAATTGTGCAGCACCTTATTCGGGTGGACCTGCTCTACATTTATCTCCTTGAACCCCTAAGCCCCCCCTTTTTTTTAAACTTAGCTAATGCTTAACAGTGAAATATTAACTTAAATTTACAACACACACATACACTCTACAACACACCTACACAGTTGTACAACAAACACCAAACGGCTCTAAAGCATATAATACAAATATCAGGCTACAGCACCTTGTATAGTTTTATTATGTGAGCACTAATATGGTTTCATGAAAAATCCTCTACTTAGATGTCTCCTAAAAGCATCAAATAGAAAAAGTCTGTTGTCAGCAGCTAGTTTTTTTATATGGCGGTAATATTATCACACTGTTGTGCATTTCTTGCCTCGACCCCTCAGCAGCTGTTCTCACTGTAAACTCGCCGCTCACAATGAACAGCAGTTGGGTAAAAAATATTACATAGCCTACATACCAGGGAGCGTGAAGTCAAACGGTAAGGGGCGGAAAGTCTGATGCACAGTTTTGATCATCTTAAATAACTTATCACACCAACGGGAACAGTTTGCAGAAGGCTGTGCTTCGTTGAAATAAGTCCACGCCATGCGTACCCGCCCCTTTTAAACATCACTGTTGGCTGAAATCGTCCAGGACAAATACTTCAGTCTGGTACCCCTCGGTTATAGCTCCTCCAAGAGACTCCTCTCTCCTAATAAATCAGTGTATCCTCAGAGATACGCCCCTCCAGACAGCTCACTCGATATCGATCCTCGACGCACCCTTGAGAGAAATTTGTTTTTCTTCGAGACGGTGCGCCGACATCCGTTTTCCGGTCGCTGCAGGAGGACCTGGCGAGTGCCTGGGACGCGAAAATTAGTAGAAATGACCAGAAGCGGCTACATTTCGGAGGACTCGCGCGCGTGCTGCTTGACCACGGGGACGACCGTCTGCCCTCCCCGACAGGCGCACTGACCGCGAGGGCCCGCTCTCCTGCGCGCACTTCTGTGACCGCAGTTGTAATTAAATAATTTTCTTTCACTCTCAATTTATTAATTTCCACGAGCGGCCTGGGCACCTTTTGGTGTAAGCTCTTCTTCTTCTTTCGTGTATCTTCGTCATATGTACCAGCTCAGGTGTCACAAAGCCAACGCTCTCGTCTCTGCTCCCACTGGAAGAGGCCATGCCTCTGAAGGAGGTTCTGCTACAGAGGACAAGGTGGCACTTGGAAGAGGCCAGCCTCTGAAGGAGGTCTGTACAGAGGACAGGTGGTGATTATGTGGTCGGCAGTCTGCTCAGGCTCGCCACACTCGCATACTGCGCTGTCTGCCAGGCCCCACTCCTTCATTGATGATTTGAAGCGACCAACCCTAGTACGGAGGCGGTTCAGTAGGGTCCAGTGCCGGCGTGGTAGCTGTGATGCTTAGAAATATAAACAAGTTCTTTATCAGTAATAATTATATAATAAGCCTGTTCATAATTGCTAAATGTTGTTCTCCACAGGATGATAGATGACTCCCAGCTCAGTCCCTCAAAAGATATTTTTATGAAAGTGGCCATTGAGATCTTTGCAGATGGAAAATTCAACTGGGGCAGGGTGGTTGCACTGTTCTACTTTGCCTGTCGACTCGTCATCAAAGTGAGATAAGCAGCTCTTTTGTACCTCACTTCATAAAAACAAAAGTTAGACATCTATCTAATAGATTAACAACAACTTTAATATTAAAGTGTTTAACATTCCCACTGTTCTCAGGCTCTGGTGACCAAACTTCCTGACATCATCAGAACAATAATCAGCTGGACTATGGACTACCTTCAGGAAAATGTGATCAACTGGATCAGGGAGCAAGGTGGCTGGGTAAGAAGCTAGCTAACAAATGCCACCCAAAAGAATAAACCTGCATCATTTTGTTTTCTTTTTGTAATTGATCTCCTGATTGTTTGAACATGTGATAATATTTGTGTCTAATTTTCATGATTTTTAGGAGGGTATTCGGTCCCACTTTGGCACACCCACATGGCAGACATTGGGAGTTTTCTTGGCTGGTGTTCTCACCACTGTTCTAGTGATTCGCAAATTGTGAGGGATATGTGAAGAGGAGAGTGGAAAGAATCGCCCGAGAGGAATGCGGACGGGAACACGAAAGAACGTCTGAAAGCGTAAAGAAAGAAGTTATGGCAGTGAACAAGTCGAACAGGACCAGCTTGTATTTAGACACGAAGGGCATCTCTTTGTTTCTGCCCCCTTTCATTTCTAAGGATGTGGAGTAAGACAGTAAGCACTTTCTCACCCGTAATCCTAATGCCATTGAGGAAGTGAGCGGAGCATGATGCACAAAATGGGGAGGTGAAAATGTTGTCAGGACTTAAACAGGGAATGCATTTTATGTAATTTATTTTTTATTCGGTACAGACAAGAAATGTGACTGCTTCGTTTTTTTCCTGCCCTTAAAGATATATTGACTGAAATGTTATTTTACGTTTTGCTAAATTTCCTTCGGTTTTATTTTTTGTTCCACTCGGATTGTTTATCTTTATTTTCCCACTCGCCATCCACCTCATCCTGGTCTCTGTATGCTAGAGAATCAGTCTTCATATGTATTTGTGAGTATTAACCGGTGCTTATCTGCTATGATCGGCTGGAAAGTTTTATATTCACATCGAGTAAACAGATGTTTTTTGCAAACAGTTATTAGATAACATAAAGAAAAATTACACATCCAATAATATTTGGGCTAAAATTACCATGATTGTTCCCCTTTAAGGCACAGCTCAACATTTCAGTGGTTTTCAAAAGTGCCACAATAGAGTCGTGTACAAATTCATGTTTGCATTAATCATGACAAATCACATGATCTCGGGCAAAACTCCTATCTTCTGTAACATTCAATGATATGCTCCATTTGGGTCTTTCAACCAGCATTGTGACCTAATGTGCCGCATCTCGTGAACATTTCCTGAGGCCTATTAAAGATGTTGCACTGCAGACACAGAAAGTGCTGGATGCTCACAGATGCTTACCTCATGTCACACATATTCAAAAGTACTGTACGTTTTCTTGAGATATACAGACAACAATCTTATCTACAGAGCAAAACGTTTTTTTATACATACTTCTTGTTTTTCAGTGCCTTGGTGTTTGGCTTTTTCTTTTTTTTTTTACTATGAAATCACTTTGATATTCTCAATTTTTCACATTTTTCTATTACATTTGTAAAGCTGAAATTTGTTTCCAGTCCTCCCTGAAAATCTTTTTGCTTGTCTGTTGTAATATGGAAAATAAATCTTTTAACTCTTGACTGTGTCTCTGGAAATGTATAAATAGTGTAGGGTTAAGGATTATAAATATGAAAAATAAACACCAGCTACTCGTGGAGGGATTGAACCAACAGGTTAGCATTTAGCTCAAAATGCTGGTGTGCCTGAATGCAGAAAGGCATGATGGCATGTGTACATAATTAGTTTTGTGATTAGCTAATTAAATGACAATCTGGCAGATATCACATTTTATATTTAAGGTTGAGTACTTTGAGGCTGAAGTCCACAATATCCATACTTTTTTGGGCATAAATGTAATGTTATTGGTTTATAACATTTTGATATAGCATGTGTAAAAGCTTTGGGCTGGAGGATCCCACCAGAGCAAAGGTCAGGGGTTCTCCAAAACCACAGAGTTTCAACCTCAACCGCTCTTAAATATCATCTGCAAAGGTCATGGAAGTCCAGGCATTGCAGTACTATCATTATTAACTTTAAATGAAAAGACAACTTTTAAATTGTGGTTCATGGTCGGGGATTGTTTCTCACAGTGGCACTAGAGGAAAAGGTCAGATGGTCATAAAATTCTTGCAAGTCCTTCTCTGGGGACTGATTTCCTGTCAAATCTAATCTGACCAAAAGTTGTCTTACTCTGAAGTCCAGCTATTTGAAATAAGTGTTGAACAGTATAACGTAGAAATGGAAATGCAAATTAACTTAACTCAATGTCATTGGTAGACAAACTAAATCCCAGATAGCGTAATTGAATAGCATTAGATAGAATTTTGATCACCCTGTCTGTATCACACAAACATAAGATTGACAATAAAGTTGACTTGACTAAATACAGCAGAAATGGCCATAGTCATTGTGGTATTGTGAACTAGTCAATACAAATTGCATTACGGACTGAATAACTTCAACAATGAAGAACACTCTGCATAGTTTCATATGCTGTGTTTAATGACTCATGTTAGCATAAACAAAGAAAGGGTGTAAACATCACAGTGGTTAAAAAAGCTCAGCATTGACTCATAAGGCTTTTAATGATTACTTTGAAGATAAAAAAACCAGGCCCCCATTTTGGTACTAAAAACACGAGACACAAGTGCTGAAGAGGCAGTTCTGGAAGATGTATTTAACCCCTCAGATAGCATGGTCCTCGCATATTTTTGCATATGGTCAAACATTTAAAAAGCTAAACAGAAGGCCATGAACGTGTAAGACGGTTTAGATGACACTGAGGTGGACGGATGGAGAGAGCAGTGGGCTCTATCTCGTCTCCAGCACTCCGTCTCTGATCCTCCACCTCCAGGCAGAGCTGAAGTCCGGAGCAGGAACACAGCTGAGCTCCAGACCGGACTCCTGCACCTCCTCATCGTGAGCAACCTGCTGGCCCTGCTGGGTTTCCAGGGTGAAAACCCTCTCGGACATCTAAAAAACGAGCACACATAAGCATTTAAAGTTCTAATCAAACTCTAAACCATGAAAAGCTGTCGTGACATGAGTGTTCTCGGTGGCCGGCCCTCACCTGATCACTGATTCCCGTGGCGATGTGGCCCACCTTCACACGGCGCGTCTCTCTGATGCGGATGCTTCTCCCACTGAATTCTCTGATGCAGACATCCACCCCTGAGCCAATCACAGAGCAGATAGATATATGTGTTACAGTTTGGTACAACATTAAACAGGTTTAAAAGAAGAGGGATTGTAATATTGTTTCTCACCTTCAAAACAGCAGGGTGGTGGTAGTTGTGTGTGACCCAGCAAATCCAAACTGGAAACCTGCACGTCTGGCTGACTGCTGTAGGAGAACACACCGGAGCTGAGGTCGTCTGCTGGGCTCAGAGACCACCGGCCAGAGTCCTAGGATAAAGACAAACAATGTGTGAGTTAAAATATTATAGCCAAAATGGGTGACCACCATCCATGGATGAATCTCTTTGTTTAAATTGTCCTCAGTTTGGAATATCTTTTGATTATTTAGGTCAAAACGTTTGATATAGAACATTATTTTTCTGGGATTACATTTCTGGATGTCTGAGATATATAACAAGTTAAAAGGGTATCAGTTATCAATCTAAACTGCCACCTAATGATTGCTTTGTGGATTTAAAGGCAAAATGAGAAGGGTTTGTAAAAACAACATAACGGTTTTGCCCCTTCTTTCCAGCTCAACGAGTCACGATGCTAGAGAGCAAAGTCAACCTCAGATTCAGTCTTGTTTTGGAACTGAATTTGTCAGCTTTGCTTATGCTTCACCATATTTGCATCTTATTTGCATATATTCGCCATTTCATCATCATTTCATAGTTTCCTCTTGGGTGCATGCTTATAATGGCACCTGGTCATTACTTAATTATAAAGCTTGACAACCGAGAACGCGCCAACACACATCTTGTGGGTTATAAAAGATGAAAAAGAGGAATTGTTTTTTTATGAGTCTTTACATTTTTTTTTTTTGGGAGACCCTACTCACTGGGCCATTAAAATTGGGATGAATAACAGCAATTTATTGTTTCTCTTAACATATTCCACTACTTTGGATCAATGTGTGCGTTTGTTGGGGAATAAGAACATTGAATGTGGTAGTTGGCTACCTTTTTGTCCCATGGTTCCCAGGTGGAGTACAGGTCGCTGCTGAGACAAGACAACAGCTGCTCCTGCATCTCAACCGAGTGGAGCTGGGACAGACTGCTCAGGTAAAAGTCTGCAAAACAGGAAGGAACACAATGAGTGGGGTTCAGAAACATTTAACACAATAGAATGAAGCAGAACACTGAGAGAAACCTCACCTCGCTCCAGTTTACGGAGCTCAAGTTCAGGCACAGTGGAGATCTTGTTGCCCCTCTTGTATTTTGGCTCACAGATCAGTGTTTGTGGACAGGAAATAGAGTCTTGATTCCACTCTTCTTCATCATCATCACTCCGGTCCTTTGTCCTCCTCCCTGTTGGGATCAGTTTCTCAACAGACTCTTGATCCTCATCCTCGTAGTTTACGCTGCTGTTGATCAGCTGCAGGGAGTCAGGAGGTTTGTCAGAGACACACAGGGGGTCTGTGTAGGGGCCCCTCACTGGGCTGGTGAGTCCTCCAACTGCAACCACACAAACACAATACATCACACAATGCAGTTGATGATGCATTCAAGGGCGTAAATCCTTTGAAAACTGCTAATATTAGTTGTTTTGATACTGTTTGTAGAATTTTGTTTCTAGTGGTGTCTCCAAACCAGTCCAAAAGTAAAAACATATTGAAATATCATAGATGAATAATTGTTCTTCTCTTGTTTTTATCTTATTAACTACAATTCATATTTGTTGGCATTTCAAAACAAACTTTTAACTGCTTATATATTTTTTACTCTTCCTTGTTTTTTAGGGTGATGACATCATATGACGACGACCTTTAATTCAAACATTACATTAGATAAAGTTCTATTATATATCAATTTACAGTTAATATTGTCCTAAAAAGATACTGGATTTGAGAACCTATCAGAGAGACAGTAAAGCATAGATATGTTTTTGCAGAAAATGCAACACAACAGTAAATATGGGAAAGTTTTCAGGTCTGTAAAAAGGAAAGGGGGGCTACATAATGTTAAAATGTTTGGCCATACTACTGTTATTACGGGAATGTATAATATCCAACTTTTTGTTATTTACTCTACACAGAATGTGGTGTGTGTTTGGATGCCTCGCTTGGTTACCTTCTGTCAGAGCTCTGGCAGTTTTCTCTTTGAGCTCAGATGCTGATGCTCTCTTGGCTGGATCCTTCTGTAGCCCCGCCTTGATAACTTCAGCTGTGAGCGGGCTACAGTCGGGGGGGATCTCTCTCACGGGCGGGGGCTCGTTAGCGATCTGTAACCATCAGAAAATAGCGGTTACAAAATCTGATGTGAAAACTTTGAAGATCTGACTGAACAACGACACTGAAACCATGTCTGTGTGTTGCTGTGAAGAATACCTTCAGGTAAAGTCTACAGGTGTAGTATCTGCTCCAAGGCTGGCACCCATTGAGCATGTGCAGTAACATACAGCAGCTGCTCCACACATCTGCTTTGGCTCCGCGGGGTTCACCTTTCACAATCTCAGGGGCCATGTGGGTCTCTGTGCCCTTCAGATCTGCATCAGGAAACGATGATTTAAGACGTGTTAGTTGAGAAATGACCCATTTTTTTGGATATTGAATCGCTAAAGTAACACTGTATGTACCTTTGGACCCGCTGAGGCTCTGTCCCTGATTGTCCAGTCTCTCTGCGTGTCCAAAATCACACAGGAAGGTGTCTCTGCCGTCCTCCGACAGCAACACATTGTCAGCTGTGGAAAACAATGACCCACTGCATTAGCGCTGATTTCCATGACTTCTTCAGTTCAGTTTGCAGATGACATAATGAGAAACAGGACAGCTGCACTTTCACAGAACAGTCTAAAAGGCAAACATAAGAGGGAGCTATGACCTCACTTTGGGACAACTGCTGTACAACACTTTAATTAGGGAGGAATGAGGAGTCTAGAAAAAAAAAGGTTCATTACGGTCACCAGGTGGCGCCTGAGCTGCAACCGCACAATCGTCTTCCTGTTTGTTTCTGCACTTCCTCTAACTTCTAACTTCTCTTTTAGTTTTTTTCATTCCTTCTTTTTTACAATTCGCTCTACTTTTTGCATCTTCTTCCTTGTTTCTGTATTTGTATGTAGTTCTGTCTCTCTCTGCTCTCGCTAACTTCTTCCTGCTTTTCGTCCCATCCCCCCCTCTCTGTTTCGTTCTCCCTTTCTTTCTTGCTCTCCTGCCTCTGTGCACATGCACCGCCTCTAAAGAGCAGCGGTGAGTCATACTGTGGGAAATTCCCAGCCCGCCGGCTTCTCTGTGGCGGTCTGGTTCCACAACACAGGTGCTGGGGATCAGATCTACTGTACGGGTGACACTTGTGTTCCACGCAACAACTACACAAAGACACAAAATTCCTCTAACTTTTCGAGCTAATTAGAAGTCTGAGTTCTTCTCACTGTATGGTTTTGTTTTCCAGTATGTACCACAACAAGTACAACAACAACATTTATTTTCCCTCATATTACTATCGTGCTATTTTGATCTGTTCAATTGTTCCTGTTCCAACTTATATTGAAAGTGTTTTGATGCATTTCAGGATTGCAAATAATACTGACAATTTCTCAAAACATTTTGATAACTGTCTTGACTAAACTAAAGATGATTGTTTGTTTGAGGTTAAACCTTCAGGACATATCGTCTAAAACTTTGGAAAATTGTTAAAAGCAATTTCACTAATGAGTAAGAAATGCCACTATTGGTGTTTTGATTTTTAAAATGTAAACATTAATCAAACTGTAAAGAATATAATTTTTTGAGGGGACGATTGGGACAAATATATTTTTGGGCTTTTACATTCAATACCCACAAACTCCAAAACTAAACTCCTATTTGGAATTCTGACTGTAGCTGCAAGTAGGGATGGGTATCGTTAAGGTTTTAACGGTACTACTACTACTTTTACCGATACTGCTTATCGATCCGGTCATTTAACGGTACTCTTATCGGTTCTTTTAGAGAAAGAAATAAGGTAAACTAACTAAAGAAATTGTGAACAAAATTAACATTGCTTTTTATTTAAAATTAAATACATAATATTTCACATTTTAAAAAAAACAATGTTTTAACAAACCGTGTTAAGTAATCTGATGACAGAACTGTAAACAGAATATCTGAAACTTTAACAAACTAAATAACTCAGTTACCTCTAATCATTAACCCATGTTTGTATAATGGAGTTACAGTTAACTCTGTTTGTTGCTGTGTGTTGCTGCTAGCATACATAACNGGATGGGGCTACAGAGCTGCTAGAAAGACAGTCGAACCCGGTGAATTCCTCCGTCTGAATGTGGTGCACTTTTGCTAAATGTTTAGACAGATAGCTTGTGTTACCGCCCTTACATGCTAAACTCTTATTGCACTTTCGGCAACGAGCATTGTCCACACCGAGACGGGTAAAGTTTAACCACACCTTGGAGCGCTTAGTTCTCTCCGCCGTGTGTGTGTTGCATGCATGTAGCAGCTGCGTGTGTGCAAACTGCACCGCCCCCTCGCACACAGACGGGGAGAGAGATCTCTCGCCTGGATTGGAAAGATCGAAAATACTAAAAATAATCATAGACGCATTTGTTTGTCTTTTTGCGTATTAGAAACGGAGTTGGCGACACTAAAACTTCAATATAATGTTTGTGTAGCATAATACATATGGCATATTTTTTACATGTCTCCAGTACCGATAAAAAGACAGATAACGTCGGAGCTTAACGGTACCACGGTCTTTAATAATTCAGCCCCGGGGCCCATTTAATACCGGGGCTCGGTACCCGTCCCTAGCTGCAAGAAAAGCAAAAGCAAGAACATGGCGCAAACCGAACATTCCATTGATTGACAACTGGTATGATACAATACATGAAACATTCGTTAGGGAAATAATTAATTACTTATTCTATAATGCTTCAGGAAAATTATTATTTATTTTAATTACTATTATTATTAGTATTCTTTTTTTTTTTTTATTCTACTTATAGTTTGCTTTTTTTTGATAACATAATAGAATGATTTGTCAATTGAACAAGATGTAATATGAATATTATGGGAAGAATAAAAAAGAAAGAAATATATTTTTGTTTAACATACCTTTGATATCTAGATGCGCTACTTTTTTCTTCCCCAAGTACTCCAGTGCTGTTAGGATTTGTCCATTGTAGTGGAGGCTCAGGTCCTCTGGCAGCCGGCCACGCTCCGATATCAGCTGGCCCAGCGAGCCTGGAATAACAAAATATGGTCAGACCAGGATAAAGACTGAGAGATATCTAGGTAACAATAACTGATACGCCGTGTCTGATTCAACAATTCCTTTTTATTATGGCCTGGAATTTGATGACAAAGGAAAAGAGTCATTGAGTGTAATTGTGTTTATCAAGCCGGCATCTCCCTTTACAGATGTTGAGTGTAATTTGGACCAAAACACTTCAAAGAAGCTCAACACTCATTTCTTTCGTCCTACAACCACCCACTTCCAAATCTCGACACTAATCGCATCCGTTTCTTCCTGTAATCTGCCTTCCTCTCATGTGTTTGCGCTTAGATGTGATGACTTAAATCATCACATATCACCCAACAATTTCCCCCCTAATCTCAACATCAGCAGTGAGCACTGGCAGAATGTGGTGTGAAGCTTTGTTTACCAGATTTCAGGTCCATGAAGAGCATGACGTTCGGCCCCTCTCTGACCACTCCAAAGAGTTCCACCACACGAGGAGATCTGAGGGTACTCCACGCACCCACCTCCTCACTGCTGAACCTCTTCAGGGCGATCTGTGAGGAAAGGTGGGAACAAAAGAGTGAGAGGGTTTTATTTTCTGGCACTTTGTGAGTTCCCTTACACACCGAGGAGGACACATATTTATGTATAAAAGACATCAAAAAGTGCATTTTGCATGATAGGACACCTTTAAAGACACTTTGGGTTTTTAGAAGAACGTGAATGAACACTTTTGACTAGTTTCTGACTCCAAATCTGAAAAATAATAGGCAGATGCAGTCGCACTGGGTTACCTTTTTGACAGCAAATTTGAAGCCTGTGTTGACATCTTGTGCGCTGTGTACTTCACCATAGGAGCCTTCCTTGATGAACTGTGGGAGGACATACTCCCTCCCCTCCTTGTATTCAGAGTCCACAGGCTGGATGTTCTGACAGACAAGAGAGCAACAAATTAGTTTGGTTGAATCGCTTTAAATCTGCCTTTTCCTTTCACGTGCTGCAAGATTGGAAGGCAAACTTCACTTTGAATCTCTTCCCTCTCTTGAAATGTTTAACAGTATTTTAAAATAAACAGACTGCCGTAAAGCAGAACTTACTTCATTGTCAAAGATCATTCCCTCAGTGGTGACAGAATCATCTGCTGAGAGCTCATCCTCCTCCTCTCTTACGCCCCGCTCCACATCTTTGAAGAAGGGCCCTGCGTAGCACCGGTCCCCCTGACTGACGCAGCCTCTGAGGCCAGCGACAGCCAGGGAACAGTCTCCCAAACTGCTGAGGGAGTCTGAGTCGCTGTCCTGCCCGTAGGAGTGGACACTGGAGAGGGAGACGCACACCGGCTCCCCCCAGGTCGGAGGAGAGCAGCTGGAGTGTGTGTTGTAGATCTGTCGGCTGTAGAGAGGGGGCCCTCCGTCCCGCTCTTCTGAGCTTTCAACGCTGCTGCAACAGGAAGACTCCTCCTTCAGGACACAAGGGAAAAAAACATGTTTACATTCTCAGGTGAGTTTGCTCAGGGGCTAAACGTTCAAGGCCATGAGAGACAGCTTTGTCTGATTTCTGTGATTCACTCCCACAACACATGAAGGCTCATGGGAACGTCGAGCCTCCGACTGCCAAAGAATGTGGCATTTTATCCTGGAGGGTGATTCACCAGGAAAACACTGCAAGAGCTTCTCAGCTTCTTTAGAGGAACAAGAGTTTACAATGTACCAAAGTCTCCTTGGGGCGTAACTGTAGTGTTGCAGTTTAGTCATTTAGAGTTTTAAGAACTGGCCTAATAACTTCTGCCCGGTTGATTCTTGGGGAAAAGATGCTAAAAAGTTGAACTGTAAAAAAGTGATATGATCAATGGGACAGCTTAGATATAGTGTTGCTGTGTTCTAATTGCTGCCTTTATTGTATTTATATCTGTTTGGTCTATTGTCTGCCTATCAATGTTTTTGTTCGATTTTTTCCTTTTTCGGGCTTGATATTGATGTTTGGTTTTAACATGAGAGAAATTGTTTGGAGAAAAATGCACCAAGCTATTTCTTAATGTCAGTTTCAATCTCTTTTTCCCATGTTAGACTAAACTATGTGATGATAACCAGAGTTCTTACCAGGATCCGGACCAGAAAACTTCCACTCTCCTGCTCAGGGACTCCAGAGGGCATTCGATGTCTGTGTCTCTGCCTCTCTTTCTTCCTCTCCAGTTTCTTCTTCCCCTTTCGCTTCTGTCTCTTCCTCGCCCTCTTTCTTGGCACGAGCTGAGCGGACGAGCGGTTCGGCTCCTGGATGGAGGAGGCCGTGGTCGCCACGTTGTTGTGCTCTGAGGTAACACTGAAGCACAACGATGGCAACGATGTTAATACCAGACATGGCGTTAGATAATTCAGTATAACCTGTGTAAATAAACACAAGATGTCAAGAGCAGAGGCAATGTAGAGAAGAAGTGTCAAACCTGCTGATGAAGCAGTTCGGGGAGGGGACATAGGAGCGTTCATAGCAGGATGGACTAAACTCTTGGGAATCCTGGGTTTCACCTGAGGAGAGCACAATGTTAACTCTAAGTCCACAGGTATTATATGTCTTATTAAATAAATCAGAAAGACATAATTACATTCAGCTTGGGCAATAAAGGTGGAGGTCTTCAGGGGCTTTTCGCCCACTTGCTCTGCGGTCCCATGTGTCAGGAGTTTCTTTATCAAAGGGTTCAAACGGGCTGTGTAGCCCGTTTTGCTGTCCTTCCCCTCCTCTTCCTCCTCCTCTGCCTCCTGCTCTGCAGCGGAGCAGGACGGGTACGACCCCTTCAGCTCAGCTTGGGACGACCCGGAGAAAGGTGATGTCGAGTTAAAAATCCTTTGCCTCACCGCCATTTCATCTGCTGGATCTGAAATAAATAAAATAAAAACAACTGATAAGTCAAGTGCTTCAATTGTACAAATGATCATATTTGTAATAATAACTGATCATACTGTATATCCTAGAAATACTCAGCAGCTCTTTTCTGAAATGTTTGAAACACCCTCAATGGCATTGTGTCTCTGATCAAACTGTTTTGTAAAATGTATCTGCTAATTATTATCTCAATTAAAGAAAGTTTGTTGAGTAAAAAAATCTACAGCCCTAGTGGACGTCTTTAAATGTCATGGTTTGTCCGAACCTACAGATATTGAGATGACTATTTTTGATGACAAAGAAAGGCATACAATTCTTACTTTTGAGAACCTGCAAAAGTTTGATATTGTTTGCTTTTCAAAGTTTTTGAATAATGAATACGTTATAGATACTTATCAATGCAGCTCAATCGTGGAAATGCAAAGCAGTAAATGTGTCTTCTTTCAAAACTGCACTTTCAATTGATTATTTACATTACATTAGTTGACATGTTACATAAGTAATCAAACACAATGTAATGCATCATGTGTCTGTAGTAAACCAAATGTTCCTTCCTGTCCTTGCTAGTGACTGACCTTTATAAATGTTGTGGAGTTTCTGCCTCCTAAAAACCCCGTAACGCAACACAGGACTTTTTACTATCTGATAATATGAGAGTGACGGAGCCTACTGACAAAATGTATATGTCATTTCTTCAAGTTAAAATGTCTAATAAGTTTAACTTTTGTTCTCTTTTAAAAGGCCTAAAAAGTACTCTTTGTTGTTGGACTGATCACCAGTTGTAATGAAGAGAAGATGTTTACTCTTCTCTACAGAAATATGCACACACTCCAATCAAACAATGGCAGGCTTCGTACTGCGGTAAACTACATATAAAACTTCTTCTTTAGAGCTTGTTTAACACATACTGTGTGACTGTGTCAAGTGCATTCAGGGTCACGACGTTCACTTAAAGCGAAACTTTCGAAAGTTTGCGGTTGGCACTAGAGACAGGAAACTAAACCCTGGCCTTCTTTTGACAGTTGCAACAGCGTCGTTAAAAGTGAGCACTCTGTTTCACTCGGAGGAAGTAAAATAAAGCGCATAAAGCCGCCAACATGAACTTCCAATAAAGATTTGCACGATTGACTGCAGATGGCTTGGACGTTACAATCTTCAGAACGTAAAATCAACACACCCTCTCTCTCTCTCTAACACACACACACACACGCACACATCTCAGCACTGGCTATTTGCAACAAAGTCAGTTTGAAGGGCACAAACTGGGACTACAGTTGCAGCATGTTGCATCAGCGTTCCCCCTTAACCACAGCTTTTCTTTGTCACTCAGCTTTTGAGTGTTTCTGCACATACATGCCAGTCAAAGATGTTCTTGATAGAGATCATACAAGGCTACATCTAGATATCTTGACTCAAACAATAGCATGGCTGTCAGAACATTCACCCACTTAGTCTTCACCTTTTGCTCATTAAAAATAACTGCTTAAAATCATAGTAAAGACAGACTGACATCAAACTATAGTCAAATTTCAATGAAAGCTGTTGAGTTGAGTCATTACCTTGTGTGGCGACTTCATGCACTGTAAGACAATCTAGAAACAAAGCAATTCAACTGTCACTTCCTTCTGAAGACACACCCTGATGAGTTTACATGGAAAGGAAGCAGAGAAAACCCGCTGCGAAAAACACAACCACAAAAACATCTCTGTGTGTGTGAGGTAGAGGTAGCCTACCGACAGATGCCAGGGGGAAGGGCTATCTCTCTCCTGTGCGTCCGCTCTGTATAACCTAATTTACTTTAGTAGAACTGTGCTGCTGTGTCTGCCTGCATGTTCGGATTCTCCGTAACACTCAGTGCTCACCGCTTTGCTCTCCTTGATGCTGGCTCTCAGCCAACACAGGAGAGGAGGGGGGGGGAGCTGGATGACTTATGGGAAATGCATCTCCACTTCCCCATATTCACCCCTCCTTCCCTCTCTATCTCCCTCCCTTCTCTCCTGCCAACAGGGCTGGCTTACTTGCCCCGTCTCGGACTAGATTAAAGGATAACGTGTTTGGTTACGTTTTTGATGATTAACTATGGATCGTTAAAACAGAAGAGCTCTTTGTGGCCTTGCTGTCAAAATAAAGTCAGGTCTTTAATGGAAGATTAATTAAGAATGGATATTATTTATATTATTATAAAAGGCAATATATTTATTTTAAAACGTTGTAAACATTTCAAAAGAGGGAAGAGATTCAAAGTTTTGCCTTAGAGTGAAAGTAAGGGACCAATTTAAAGTCATTTAACCAAACTAATTTGTTGCTCTCTTATTCTATCAGAAATGAAATCTTCATTAGGTCAAAAACACTACAGAAAGAAAACTTGAAAGATGTCTGTCAGTGTATTAATAAGGCTATGAGGTTTGTACATGCTGTCACTTTATGGGGCACATGGGAGACCATCCGTCATAATGGATGATGAAGAGTGCAAAGAAGATATGTGGCGACATACCAAATCAAATTCAGTATGCAATTATACTAAACTAACACACTTTGAGGTTAGACACAGAAGCATGTAGCTCCTTGACTCCCACTAACGACATATTTTAGGCCCAGCTCTTTCACCCATATGCCTTATATTAGGGCTGCTCAATTAATCGTATTTTAAATCGCGATTACGATTATGGCGTGCAACGATTATGAAAACAACGTAATCGAAATAAAACGATTCTTTTTTTATTATTATTACTTTTTTTTTTTTTGGTTTTTCAGTTGAATTATACTTCAAGTTCAGGGTAATCAATTGTTAAAAACATAATGTTCACATTTTTTTTCTCTCCAATAAATGGATGTTTTCAAAGTCAATGAATAATCGCATTTAATAATCGCAATTACAATTATTGACCCAAATAATCGAGATTAGGATTTTTGCCATAATCGAGCAGCCCTACCTTAAATGCAAGACAGTATAAATAGTACTATAAAATCAATGTCTTGTAGTTGGCTGCAAGGGTAAAAGTGTGTGACTAATACAAAATGGCAAAAGTATTGGGACTTGAACTGGATATGGTCCCCTTGCACATCCTTGTTTATATATTCTACTTTTTAGTAATGTTTCATTTCTATTTTTGAAATGTTTCTATTTTATAATTGTTTATTTTTTGTCTGCTTTTAATTTCTGTGTGCAATGCATTGTTTTGTGTATGCTGCTGTAACGATAACATTTGCCAATTTGGGATCAATAAAGTATATCTTATCTTATCCTCGGCCTTTGATACAGATAAGTAACACCAAAGAACAATGAAAGATTGTACTGCTTTGCTGCGAGGAAAAACGTGCCGTCTGATCTTGCACCATTAGAATATCTTACATGTTTTATACATCTAATAAACCAGTTTTTTCTTTTTAATTTGGGTGTCCTTACTGAAACTATGGACAGCCTGGTTTATCTTTTATGCTGAAGGGATTTTCTTGATTATAACCTGAGATAATCTCTCGTAGTTGTTGTCCATCATTCTATAATATATCCATCTTCTACTGCAAAAATGTAAAAATAAAAGAGTTTCATTTAGTATTGCGCACACCCGCGATACTAAAATGTTAAATGTTTTGTAACCTTTCATATGCTCTGATATCCTAATGAGCATTCGTGCTCTGCAGTCAGCCACATGTCATGTCACACCACCACTTAATGCCACCATCAGACAGCAGACTTCTGGTATCTGATATTGTGAGAATCTCTCAATCAAAATTACACAAGCATATGAGCTGTCACTTAAAATGTGATGTGTCTGAAATAATTTCACTTGCCTTTCTTTCCGGCAGCAAAACAACTTACTCATATAAAAACCGCCACAGAACACAGGAAATTCATAATACCACTTGAGAGGCTCAACCTGAACCCGAGAACACAGAGCTAAATGCAAGTGTTACAGAAACTGTTTGCTGGCATGGCAACAATATCTTCGAAACACTGAGAAAATAAGGCTTAATCAGTTAAGGTTTAGTTTTGACTACTCTAGTCTAGTATCTGATACAAAACTGGATTGAGTATTTTGCACATAAACAATGGAAGAAAAGGTCTTCAAATATTATATTAAAAGTAATTTAATGTTCAATTTATCATTTAAGTCAATCTTTAAAGTAATTAAACTGCAACCATTCACTGATATAATCTTCTAAAATGATTTTTTTTAAATAGTTCACTGAATGTAAATTGAACAAACTTGGACATTTAAAGACATCACCTTTGTGAGTTGTGATAGTGAATCGCATTTCTTTGCTATTGGCTGGCATTCTAAAGTCAAGACCATAGACCAAGACATAATGAACATTTCTACCACCCACTTTTGTAATCTTTGTAGAAAGCTTTACAAACCTTGAGTCAGTAGTACCAGACAGTATACTAGAGATATGGAATACATCAATACAATGACCATTGTACAGAGTTTTATAAGCGGTCAATTTGGACAACATGCAAGTGTACAGATGTACTTAATAAATGTAAGTACACAATAACCATAAATCTTAAACATGGATATGCTTAATTGTAACCTAGTTTTGCAGATAGATCCTGAGCTAAACTCCACATACAGTTAGTGGCTATATTGAGTCGACTTCTGCTGTACACCCACGTAGATTAATGAAATTCCAAAGTCTTTAGTAAGGACAGGGAATAGGGACTCAACCTGAAGTGGGCCACAGAAAACGCAAAGCCAAGCATTCCTTAAAGGAAACGCAGGCTACTTCTGAGGACATTGTCCCAGTCCTAGCCTACATATGTTTTAAAAACATCTGCCGGCTACAGTATGACTGTCACACTTCTCTCTTAACAACTTCCCTTTCCTGTTACTTCACTATTAACTGTCAATAAAGGAAGTTCTCTTTTCCTAACGTTTGCTGCTCATTTTGAATCCACTGATAATGGCCTGTATGTTAGATGTGAAAATGTTAACTTCAACTATGGGAAATGATGTAAATGCCAGGATATTATGCTGAATGGCATTTTATTTTACAAGGGGGAAGATTAGAAACATATTGACTGAATTCAAAGACAATTACATTTCATGAAGCATTAACACTTTTAATAGTCTAGCATGAAACACTTTACATTTGGCATTTCTTTTATACATTATATATGATAATATGCAAGAATGGTACAGCATGTTTTTGTGTAGGAAAGGCTGCAAAACTTCGACGCAACATGGTCTGTCATCATGGGTGACTACTTTGAAGCACTTAAATCTGGTATATGAGCTAATAATGGATTATTGCTATCAATCAGAAAGATAGGAGCTAACGATTTCATTTTGCCATATCAATATTTTACATAATGACATGAGCATATTAGCTCCTATGGTGATACCTAATAATTACTTAGTGAGGGCAAAATGATGAGTTTCCTATGTATTACATTTGTATTATGGCTATGAATGTATTATAAATCTCCTCTTGTATGCTCTTTATATGTTATCTATCACTGTAATAGTTTATCCTTAAAGTTATAGGTCATAAGACTTCCGTGACAAACACAAGCTGGAGTTGCTTTAATCACAGACATCTGGCTTCCCCAGGCGTATGAGCGGCTCTGAAAAAGTTTGGTGAAACAACAGTCGAGCTTACAGTAACAGCAGCCTGCTATTTACTGTACCGACCTTGTGTTTAACTATTGTCAAAAACCAAACATAATCATAAGTTTCCCCCGTCAGGCGGATTGTTCTTCGACCATGTATCCCTCAGTGTGTCGTTACTAAAATAATAACTTCCTTCTTGCCACATTGACCGCCATTTCACGTCAAACTTAAGACTGTTTTGGCCGTCGCTTATCAGTCGAACATTTTCAAATAAGAAATTCAATAAACAACAGATATGGTTAAGGTTATACAATCACTTAGACTATTTGATTTATCAATAAATGTACATTAGATTGTGTTCTTACCGAGCTCCCAATTAGTAGGCGTCGGCCGATGGTGATCAGATCATAGCTAACCTAGAATAGGGTTTCCGGTTTTAATTTCAAAGTAAGCACCATGTTCCCTTAATAATAATAAAAATGACATTATACGGATTCGTCACAATTGGTATTATTATTTATTTATTGTTTTGATAATTTTTCAGTGCTACTTGCAATCGTGTTTTACTTTGACATTGTGAGTAAGTGTCAGTTATGCTTTTATTTTGAAGCTGCAGTTTCTGTACTTCCTACAGACAAATCACTTCCTGAAGAGGCACAATAAAACTATAAATGCAAATAATAATACAAATGGAAACTACACAATGAGATTGAGAAATGTAGCATGGCATTAAAATGGGTTATTTGTGCAATTAATTTAACAATGGGGTTGTGTAAGTCACCAAGCATTTCCTCTTCTGCCTCTTCAAGGTTTCTATAAATATTTATTTTGTATCAACATTGTTTTTTGTTTAATTGAAGTAGGAGTGCATTTATTTTTCCATATGCTTTGGGATTTAAAGAACAGTGCTAGTTGTCTCATTAAAAAGCATAAATTGTGCCATAATAATCTGTGTTGTCCTCCTTTTTTACTTTAATTGTTCAAGTCTAGATAGCTGGCTGTTTCTTTCCTTGCTATAAAGAAATTAAGACCATTTAAAAAGTTTAACTGGGTTGTGTATCTATAAGTTTTTGTATTTATCTTATTATCATCTAGACTGTAC